CTCGCCTCAGGAGATGAAAGAAAATGTTTTTCTCCCTGAGTCTGGCCTTCATAATTCCATTCCATCACACAGACTGAGAACAAATGACTATTCCAAAGTCATTTGGTGTGTTTCCGTGGCTGAAGATGGCTAAAGACTTTAACCTTGATCTCCCGAGTCCGACAATTTAACTGCTAAACCACATTGGATCTCATGTTTGTTTTTGCTCTTGTCATACCAATTACTTCATCCTGGCCCCACCCACTTTTTGTAGCCTCTAGGCGGCCACTGAAAAGTTAAGTGTTGATTGCATACCCCTGTTCTACAATTACACCGTACAGGTTGGAATTAGATGTAAAGATGAAATGTTTCTGTTTTATCCTACCCTGAATGGGCAACCTCTTTTAGGTTGATGGCTGCACTGAAGAAGATCAGTGGGGTTTGGCAGAAGTAGAAAAGCCAGGAGAACTGGTTGGGGACGAGACAGCGTTTTGATAATTTAAGATGATTGTGTTAATTTTTGACTTGCAATTACATTTTTCATTAAATTGAGCCTAACGTAGGGCTGCAGAAATCAAGACAGACAGTAAATGGCACCAAAGATTGTGTGTGTGCATGTGTGTGGGTGTGTGCTTTCGCTGCTATCTACTGGTTGTTATGAGTTCTGCAGCCCAATATGGCAGCCCTGTGTTACAGATACTGTACATTACCCACAAAGGTTGATGAAAAACCAATATTTCTAGTTGCTGGCTACATTTTTCAAATAGCATGTAGTTTGGTTATGCATCTGCAAGTGGCTAAACCTGGCTAATCTAGAACAGGGATTCTGAAACTTTTTCAGGACACGGAAACTGTTAATTAAAAAAAAAAGAAGCTTGGAATCCCTGATCAAGATGCAGAGCTTTAGTGACAGAAAAAGGGTTGCATTCAAGTGAACTTTTTTTTTAAGTTTCTCATGGAACCTCATCAAGTTCTCATGTAAACACAGTTTGAAAACTCTCTAGAAAATTAAGCAGAGGTAAGCTTGGTTAGTTCTTGGATGGGAGACCACCAGAGTATCTTGGTGCTATAAATGGGACTAGGAAGTTGGGGGGAAAAAATCGGAAAAGAGTGCTGCAAACCATTCTGTATTACAGCAAGAAAACTCCAGAGATATTCCATGTAAATCACCATGACAATGTCTTTACTTCAATTAGGCTGTCATTTTTTAAAAATTTTAAATAGGTGATGGCCACGCTTGCTAATCTTCTGAAAAATCACAGGATATCCCCCTGTTTGGTAGAGTCAGATTGCACAAGCTTGCCTTTGATCCTGCCATTACTGTTTTTTCTTTCTTTTAATGAAAGGTTGATTGCCATTCATAGATTGTAGACTTTTGTTCTTGTCTTGCTCTGCAGCTGTAGCCTGGAGCTCAGAAGGAAGTTATTTCCTAGGTGATAACCCCATAATACATTTAGGGACCCAGATTTGCAAAACAAACCAATATCAGGCCTCTTTCACATCTCCGTATAAAGACAGTATTAACAGTGAGAACAAGACAAAGCAGCAAACAACATATCTGTTGCAGAGCTACCCAGATGGGAAGAGATACCTTATTGATAATTATATACAGCCTGCCTGCCTGCCTATGTTATTTTCTCCCCAGATATTTTAACTGAGATTCAGCTAGGGAGCATCTAAGTCTAAGTCTTCAGCAAGCGTCTGACAACTACATCTCTGCTTTGATTTACAAATGTTTGGCTGAATCAGTGTCCCCTGCCTCTTGGCCCAACATGCAATAATGTCACGGACAATAAGGAGGGATTCTTCCATTGTGTATCCTCTGGCTGGGAAAGATTAGATGTTGAAAACAAACAGTAGAGAAAATAGAGTGGACAAAAGAAGTCAACCATGCATTACAAACCCAGTATGAGAAAGTGATGGGCATAGATAATCTCAGTTAAGAAGTACACTCATGTTTTATAGGAAAATTATCCAGGTCACTCTCTTGGTTAGTTGTTTGTATATCCCTTTTAATTATTAAGACATCAGCTGGTTTCTTTTGTATGTCCAGTGTAACATCTTTTACCATGTCATTCTTGTAGCCTGTTTTTTAAATCCACTTTCAAGTCCGTCTTGATCTTGTCAGGTAGAACTTGTTCCTCTTCGGTAACATCTTTTAGACACAGTCTGTCTATAGAGGCAGACACTATTAAAATTAACTTCTGGGTCAATTGTTCAAAAATATCCTTCAATATGTCCAATGTTAAAATATTTTGCTTCATTCTGTAATTATAAGTTGAGTATGGGTGCTCTTCTTTATTTATAATCTTTAATTCCCTCCAATTCCCTCTAGTGTCCAATTTTTAAAGTCTTATCTTATGGGTTTTTTTTTTTTAATTCAGAACAAAAGCCTTTTCCCATGGGAAGGATTCTTTATAATTAATTCCAAAATCTTCTTTCAAATTTATCTGGACCCTTGGTCCATTTGTAACTTTCTAAAATCAAAGTTTGAATCATCCTTTTGCTGTTTATTAAAAAAAAAAGTTTTTTAAAGTTCTTAAACTTGTAGTTAAAATTGACTAAGGATTGAGGGCAACTCAACTGGTGCGTAAAACCTATTGATCCAAAGGCCTCTAATAGCCAAAAAGCATTTAACAAGCAATTTCTGAAAGTGTTTAGAAAAGGATGTATTTATTTTATTTATTTATCAATCAAATTTATATGGCTGCCCACCTCACAAAAAGTGACTCTGGGTGGCATACAACAGTCAATATGTGAACTTATTGTCCTTTCAAAGGCGCTGACCGTGGTTTGAGAAGATGGCTATTCCCTTGTCTCCCAAAGGCCACCGGAGACTGCTATCTTGTAGTCTCCTCACGAGGAGCACCTCTCTGGAGCACTTGTGAGTGATCTCAAGTTTTCTCCTTGTCTAGAGAGGAATTACAAAGAGCTGGTCTACTCGCCAGCTCTTCATTCTGACGCAGTTGTCAGCTCTGTTTTTCGCAAAGCCGTCTTCAGTCTGCTATTTATTTCCCGCAAGTCCTAAAAGCGTTGTTCCTTTTCAAGGGTGCTTTGCTCCATGACTATTTCAAGGAGAAGGAAGATGAGAAAGCAGGAGCTTTTGAAATGGCTAATCAAGAGTTATTCCCCAGAGCATAGACTTACACAGAGATGGTACACTTTGTTTGTCCACCTATTGGACAGATTTTTCAGGCTGGCAATTTTCCTTAGCAATATTTGAAAATTAAAAAACTGTAAGATTTACCAGTCTAGAACCAGAAGTGGGTGAGTGGGCAGTGCACTCATTTCCTAAGAAGTTTTTTATATTCTGTCACTCTTTTCACAGCCCCCAACTCTTTGCAGACCACAGCTTCCTTCGCTGCCAGAGCTGTAGAACAGCCAAGTGACCACATGGCCTGAAGCACACCAGGCTTTTGAAAAGTTAAAGATGGAAGAGATGTCTCAGCCCTCTTACATATTTTAAAAAGTGAACCATAAAACTCATCTGGTCTTAGTTTCCTCCACAGTAATGAGATGTATTACTATTGACAGTAATTATTTTCACATTTGCAGCACCATGAATAAATTAGGATATGCCATTTTTCATTCTTGTTTTTTTTAGATGATACATGTCCTCCTTTTCATTGATGAGCCAGTGGACACCCCAAACTGAACTATATCAAGAGTGTCATGGTAATTCTAGTAGTCATATGCCGGTAAAAATTACCGGTTTTGTTTCTGATGCTTTCTCAGAAATACATCTTATTCAGTACAGTTGCTTCAGGGAACAAACCCAGGACCGCAATCTTATATGGGTCTTTATATCCATGAGAAGCTGGCTGGAAAGGGAAAGTTGGAAAAAATAAATATATTAAAGGAATCAAAGCAGAAGACAGGTAATTGAAGGAAAAATATAAAACCTCATAGACAGTGTATCTTATTACATTTTCAGCTGGCATTTCAGCAAAGAAACCTGGATGAAAAATTGATAGGGGCTGCTAGCCACCTTCAAAGCCTTCATACTAGCCATGAAAATAACTGAGAAATCTCCTGAGTATAAGCCAAGAACTTATTCCATGGTGCACTTGAGCTGATCCCGCAGCAACTTAAAAAAAAAAAAAGTTGCTAGAACTGATGCAATGGGACTACCACTCCTAGAGTTCCCAGCAGCAAGGCTATCTGGAAGGGGGTCAAAAAAGTCAAGAGGGTACCTATGACCACGTGATAGAAGCCCCATCTCATTTGATGTGTGTGATGCATGTGACACACATAAAAAAAGAGTGGGGCTTTTTGATTCCCTCTGTGG